CACAAGGGCTTACCACTTCCAAATGGTCCCGGATTAATGCCTCTTCCTGGCTCGCAACCACATCACGAGAGGGAGTCCCCAAAACTGGTCCCCGCTGCAAAACCTCCGCCAACAAACCTTCCATATCTCGCACATAGCGTCCTTTCCACACCCTTAAACAGTCTAAATCATCCTCCACATGCCGCACAATAGCCCCAGGAGACATATAGCTCCTCCCACACACACATCTTAGACAATACAAAGGAATATAATGCAAAACCGCCATCTTCACATCTTCTCCTTCCAAAGTCGCAAACTCCCGAAACACCCGCAGATGCTCATGACCTTTCCAAACCTTCAAGCAAGGAGCATTCTCCTGTAAATGGCCTCCCATCCTCTGTCGGTACACTGGCCCTGAACAGTCACCCACAACGTACCCACACCTAAAGCAAGGACCAGCATAGTCCTTAGGGAGCCAACTGAGGAACCCTCTGCGCAGACGCCGAGCACGACACTGATGGTCCCCCATGCTAACTTTCCCGCACGTCCTACAGGTCCTAGCAGGCTGCACCACTCGGGCTGGGATTATGATGTCCGACTCACCGAGAGTTACTTGCACTAAATCATCAAATGGGCTACCACCAACTACCATCACTCCTGTGATAGATGTCTTATCCTTCCGGACAGTGAATCCTAACATCCCATGGGCTGTTCACCATTCCTTCCAGGATCCAAGTTTTGCATCCAGAAAGAGAGTATCACGTGGTGGACGACTGCCAGCCAATAAGGCACAGTCAAGCAGGTGGTACCGGTCTTTGAAGCCAGGACACCCTGCATGCCCCCACAGTATACCTGTTCCAGAGCGTAGACCTATAAGAACATACTGGTCCCACCGTGTAAGTCCTTGTAGGTGCCGGGCAGAAAAGGCCTTCCGTTTATAGTAGGCATGGCCTTCCTGCCCATGCCATGCTACCCATTCCTCAGACCGCCGTGATCGTGCTACCATGTCATTCCAGATTCTGAGGCAAAGCTCTGTACCATTCCCAGCAGGGTTACCAGACCGGCACCGCTTGGCCACATCATCCGCAATCTCATTTCCAGTAATGCCAGCATGTCCTGGGATCCAGGTCATATGGACTGTGGACAAACGGTTTAGAACTGGGCTCAGAGAATGGAGCAGCCCACATCCTGGTCCCTCACCAGTCAGCTTTTGATACAGTTGCAATGCTGGTCTGCAGTCGGTAAATAGATGTACAGAGACACCCTCGGCCAGGTCCCGTAGGGCGTAGTAAATGCCATAGACCTCACATTCAAGTGCCGAAAACTCTGGTGGGAGGGCCACACCATGGCAACTCCAGTCAGCGCACCCAACCCGGCTCACCCAGGAGCACCCAGCCATCCCTTCACACTTGCTGCCATCGGAGTAAACCACTACAGTATCTCCCAAGCCAGCTGCCACGAGGCTCCCATGACCTTCCAAGGCACTCTTCTTGTCCAATGCGATGTCAACCACCGGTTTGTGAACCACTTCACGGTCAGTTGACATACGGTACGCAACCATCCCCGCACAGCTCCAGTTGGTCTGTACCTCACCAAACCATGGGTGATCTGCACAGTAGCGGTAATTCAACATCTGGGAGTAGCACCGGCGCTGCAGGTATTTCCCTTGAAAAGCAACAGGAGGAGTGCCAAATTCTGCCAACATAATAGTAACAGCAAGGCAGGCAGGCAGGCGGAATAAGTGCTGCAATGCATTGTTCACATGCACCTGAATGCGCTTCACATAGTCCGGGTGGTCAGCAACAAACTCCAGACCATAGTAGACAGTGGGTAGGTAGGCCCCTTGGAATAGGCGGAAACACTCCCAGGCACCCACACCAGAATTACCAGGAAACCGCCGTGCCACCGCAGAGATACGCTACATTATGGCAAGGCCCCTCTTAAGCCAGTATGTAGTGTGCGCTGACCAGTTCAGAGCGCAATTGAACTGGTAACCCAATACAGCTAGGTCCTCAGAGGGTGCTAGTTCAATGCCCCCAATCGGTACCGCATCCCAACTTACTCCCCCAAAGCCAATCCACTCCGTCTTCGACGGAGCAAAACCCATCCCACGCCTCTTCGCCACCTGGCTGCAATGATCAAACAACTCAGATATAAAGGTACTGGCTGTCACTCGGGTCTCAGCTGCTACCAGAATTGCGATATCATCGACGTAAGATATCAGTACAGCACGCACGGACCGCGAGTAGCGGAGTCGTGGCCTCACGATGTCTGCAACATATACAGCAAACAGAAAGGGAGAAATTGGAGAGCCCTGCGGGATGCCACAATTCAGAAAGAACTCCCGCGACATGCGGCCATTAAACCGGAAACGCAACCGGCGGTCACTGGCCCACCGCTGGATCCATTGGTTGAGGTATGGGGCGCATCCCCGAGCATCTAGAAACTCGCCTAGCAAAGCCCGATCTACATGGTCGAATCCCCCTTCAATGTCAGTGGAGAGGAGTGCGGTACAATAATCCTGGTTGTGCCTCAAGAACCCCAACACGAGTGCCATAGCATCATGGCACCCCCGCCTGGGCCGGCTCCCAAATTGAGTCTCCTCTAATTCGACCTCACCAGTAAGACGAGCCAGTACAATCCGCTCCAGCACCTTGGTAAACACGGGCAGAAGGGTGATCATCCGCCAGGCCTTAGCGATATCATATCGTGGTTTGTTTGTTTTCTGTATCAGGATGACCTCTCCACCATGAAAATCTTGGTGATCATGACTCAGCAAGTGATTTACCATTTGGCAGAAGGCACCAGGCTGATGCTGGAAGCAGAACCTCAGGAGCCCATAGGTCATCTCATCCGGGCCTGGGGCAGTGTCATTAGGGGAGGAGGCCAATGCCCGAGCTACCTCATCCGCCGTGGCCTCGCTGAACTTCAGTACTGGCAATGCATTAACGCGGCCACCAGGAGGTGCTGCATCCGCATTCTGTGCCGCAATGAGGTCTGCCATCTGGGAGTGCCGAGACACCCATCTCCCTGTTCCATCATCCAGTGGGGGAATTGTCCGCCGCAACTCCAGTCTGTCAATCATTCTAAAGATATCAGGGTCTCGGCATTTCTCGTATTTCTTAGTAATGGCCTCATTCCTCTTCTCAACCAAGCGCGCTCTGTAGACCTGACGTGCTAGACAGTAGGCCTCGTGGGGGCCCCGCCGTCTTAGAGCTCGTACATCAGTCCTCATCTGGTTCAATTCTCCATCCCACCAACTGCATTCAAGCTTCCGGCAGCGGGGTCGTGGAATGTCCTGGACAGCGGACTGTAGTCCTGGCCACAGCTTATCTGGAGGCAGAGACCCCCACCCTTCAAGCTGTGCAGCCATCCTTCCCCAGTCTACCCGCTGCCATGGAGTACGTGGTGAGACTGCATCAGAACCAGGAAGACACTCAACCAGTAACAGCTGCCCATCATGCTCCAGCCCAGCCCGTCCATCATACCGATGCCGAATTGAGGGAGCAGAATGACTGTAAAAGGAAAAGTCAAGCGCCGAAAGTGACTGGAATGTAGGGTTAACTGGCTGGGGAAAGGAAAGGCTATTCTCTTTGATGAATTGTACTAGACGTGAGCCAGAACCATAAACCCGGTCATCCGCCGTACCCGAAAGGTACGGGTGGCGGGTATTGAAGTCTCCGGACAAAATATCTACCCCCCTCAAATTCTCCAGCATCCGCAACATCTCTCCCTTGCTTAATCACGGCCGGGCATACACCCCAGCCAGTAGGAAATCCCCTCGTACCCCCACCAATCGCAACAAGCAAAACATTTCGGCATGGCTCTCTACCTCCAAAAGCCCCACAAGCTCCTTGCGAGCATAAACTGCGACTCCACTCCCAATAACAAAAGAAATCAACTCTAGTTCAAGTTCCTCATGTGCTACCAAATAACCAGCGGAGTCCACTGGGGGCTCTAACAATATAAAAACATCAACAAAGGAAAACACCCCAAACACAACTGACCTATTTCCTCCACTCCGCCCTACATTTTGTACTAGTATCCGGAGCAACATAATTAGAGGGAATTGGATGGAGACCTCGCAGAGGCCTGCAGGGAGGGAGCAGCTAACACTGCAGTCTTCTCAAGTTCTTTGTCTGTCGTCCTGGTATGGACAGAGTTAACTATCTTGCAGCCTGATTGGTCTGCAACACCCAGCTCAGTAGTTTTAGAGATGACCTTTCTGGAGGAGGTAGAGGAGGGGGGAGTAGACATTGGAGATGGGCGCAGAAGACGGGGGTGGCCAGCATCTCCGGTTAGGTGTCCGACACGGGAACACATGTGACACTCTAACCTGACATGGGGGCACAGAGAGCCCTTTCCAGCCTGACAGTTCCGGACAAGACACTTGTGCTCTGTGGAGTAATGGTCGCCATTGCAGAATTTGCAGGCAACAGGAGCCCAACACATTACAGCAACGTGACCATGTTGTAGACATCGCCGGCAGAGGGAGGTTGGCTTGATCTCAGCCAACACACGAAGAGGCCAGCGATGGGAGTAGACCATTACCGATGATCGGCCAAGTGCCTCCTTAACCCCCGGGTCAAGTTCCACTGTGAAAACCACGGATCCCTGCGTGTGCCGGTGGGACTTGTGTCCAGCTAGACTACCCACCCAGTGTGGGTGGCCCACAACCTTGAATCCCGGGTTTGACATCTCCAGATCCCATATCATATCGTCAAAGGCACTGTCACCTTTCCAATCCTTAACCTGCCAGGTTGTACCAACTCCAGAGGGAGCAAATGGCAGGTTGGAGGCCAGCACCCTAATCTTCGTGGTGTCTCTACCAAAGGCAAATGAGTGGAGCCTGAGCTCCATGAGAGCACGTTCCATGCCACTAACAAACTTCCAAACCGAGGCAGCAGAGTGCTGGGCAAAGGTCAATAGCAGGTCGCCAGAGGTCCGGTGCTGCACACACGATGCAAAGCGGGCAGGGGAAGAGCCATTGGCAAGGACCTTATTCAGGGCAGCCTTGCAGACCTCTGTGTTGACACCTACAGGGAGACCAACCTTGGACCCACGGTCATCAAACCTAACTACAACATGTCTCTCCCGGACTGTTACCAATGGGGCGGGGGGTGGAGATTTCAGCCTACGGCGCTGAACTAGGGTGAATTCCTGTGGCCCACTAACAGCTGTCGCGGCCTGTACATAGCTGAGTGTCTTTGTCACTGGGAGAGGAATATCTGATGGTCTCACTGCTTGCACTGCCGGAGCAGTGGGCAGTTTCCGGGGCAGTGTGGGCACTGGTCCTGTGTTTTTTGTAGTGGGCCGCACTACTGAAGTGCCAGGTGGTGCAGTAGGCGTAACTGGAGGAGGAACCGCAGAGTTCTTATTTGTCTGGTTAACATTCTTGTTGACCATAGTACGGGCAGCAGCATCTTTCTCGTCTTCGAGTTCACAAACCCGCCTCTCTAACCTGTTAATGTGGTTATGCAAGGCATGGACAGTGTTATCCATGGTATTAAGTACTGTCTTTATGAAGTGCATATCCATTGCCACTTCATTGAAGCGGCGGTATTCCCCCAAACGGTCGATCATCAAGTCCTGCTCCACAATGGGACGATTGGGGTCTGCAGGCCCAACCGAGGCTTCCCAAATTGCTACCGGAGAAGAGGCAGCCCAAACCGAGTCCCCAAGTCCATCTGCTTCTGATGTGCGTCCCCTTCCCAAGCTCATAGGTAAGTCTGCAACACTCCCATCCTCACTTCCCAGAGCTGGCACAACCTGCCCGCATTCCATCTCCTCCAATCCTTCCAACATGTCTACCTCAGCTGTAGTGAGGGTAGATACCACTCCCGGGGATCTTACAGAAGGGGCATGTGACTCACACGTTGTTTCTGCCAAGGTAGATGGAAGGGGGGGCATGGACCCATAGTCTGTAGACTGAGTCCTATCCCCAACCAAAGCAACCCCGTCCTCCTCTTCCGGATCCAGGGACGCATGCCTGCTGTCTCCAATCCCATTTCCCTCCGTAGTCTTGCCACCCCCAAGGCCCATAGAGGTGTCCTGAGGGGTACTCTCAATCTCATCTGCCCAAGATACATTCCCCCCAGTCTTGAGAAAGCGGCGGTACCCAGTTTCAGTAATGCCCATGACAGATGGGCAAGGAACAGGGGTTCTGTAATTGGACCCCACCAGATCATTGCGCTTAGAATAGCCAGGGAGGGGATTCTCAGAGGGGGCAAGAGAGCCAAGCGAGGCATTGTCAGAGGAGGCATGAGAGGATGTCGCTGAAGCATTGCGTCCAATCATAAAGTTTTGGGATCCGGAGGGTATCCCAACAGGCCCAGCAGCAAGGTGTTCAGCGACAAGGGAGCCGGTACCCTGAGTAGCGGTAGACTGGCTAGGGCCAAATGATGAGGCAGGAGAGGCAGAGGGGGTATGGTTCATGACGAATAGACCAAATGTATCATCCGCGAGCACATGACAATCCGGGCAACTGAAAGCAAGCAGCTTGGAGTTGACAACAAGTTCAAACTCTGAGGCAAGAGACAAGCTGACCCGACTGACTTTTTCAACGAGCATAGAGGCAAAGTCATTAGTGGTCTTATGACAGCCAGCATGATGCTGGACATTAATGGACATACCGGAGGGGGGAAAACGGTAGGAGGTGACTTTCATAGGAACAAGACCGACAGAAACTCCCACATCTGTCATGGAGGGCAAAGAGGTAAGAGAAATGCGGCAAGACCCACACAGGAGGAGTTGAAGAAATCCCAGAATGCAAGGTGTCTCCAGGCAACGCTGCGGATATCGGAACCCAATAAGGTATCCGGATGAATCCCAGACCGCCGCCCAAGGACCGGGTGACAGAGAGGGCAAAAGACTCCACCGAAGCGAAGTAAAAGCAACTGGTAAGAAGTAAAGGGGAATTGTAATTGGCTGATAGGAAAGGTATGTGCAGTATAGCGAAGTGGTTTTTTCTTTCGCTGTGGTTGTAGCGGCAAAGGAGTCCAAACAGGCAACTAAATACAGGATACCAATCCTCCATCCCCATACCGTTAACCACCTCAGTGAGCGAGCACCAACACTAAAGCTAAAGTACAAGTCCCGCAACAGTCCAGTATCCATCGGTTCCACCTAGCCAGGCCACGGAAATCCCAGCACAATCAATGAATCACTACCACTCGCAGCATTGCCCCAGCCTCGCACCTAAAATCCTCATAATATCATAACAAAGTAAATCCACCCAAGTCACCCCCACCCAGTATCCAAGAAAGCGTTCCAATACTGTCCCTTGGAAGGGCCATGACGGAGGGGCGGTACAAAGCCAGTTTCCCCTAAGCAATCAATCGAGGCAGACCTAAGAGCCATACCCCTTGCACCGTAATAGCCAACTCAAGGCACCCCTAGGGTACTATCATTATAGGTGTCCCATCCTATGTTGAACCAACCATATCCACCTCTTCTTCATGTTCCTCCAAGGCCTCAGATTCGTGGGTATCTGGCCGGGGGCGAGAAGGGCAAACAGGCGAGTGGGATTCGTGTGGGCCATCACAGTTCACACACATGAGTGTGGCATGGCTGCAAGGACGGCTGCGATGCCGGCAGGTAGTCGTAGGGCAGGAGTGATCCCCAGTAGAGTGAGGGAGGATGCACCAATGGCAGGAAGCTGGCAGGATGCATTTGATGCTATGGTGCCCAAATGTGTGACAGTTGGCACACTGGGTGTATTTGTTGAAACGTAAGGGGCGTTCGGTGTGGTAGGTGTTGGAGAAGGCAGAGAGGCCTTTGCCAACCAAAGAAGAAGCCTTGGGTCTAGTGATAGAAATAACAACGGTTGAGGCAAGTTTGCCAATGCGTGCTAGGTCTGAGGTAAGCCACCGAGGCTGTTGGGGGAGAGATAAGCCTGAGTTAAAGGCGGTGAGTTCTGGGGCAAGCAATGCCAGAGGGGTGGAGGTAGCGATGCCATGTACCAGAAGCTGGGTGGGAGGAGTATTGAGGTAGACGGTAGAGGCACCAGGAATGAGGTGCAAAAAGGTGCCAACTTTACTGTTGACAGTGGTCGCTCTAACCGTGTCCATAGTAGTAAGGGTAACATGTCCATCCAAAAAGGAGACAGCCTGGATGAGAGTGGAGGCCAGGGACTGGTTGATGCTGTTGCGCAGCTGTACAGCAGTGGAGGTAAGGGGGGCAGCCTCTCTTTTGATGATGAGTCGACGCTGGCGCATCGTGAGGCCCTTTTTCTTGTCGGTAAGGGGCTTAACCGAGGAAGAGAAGGGTTTGGCTGGCTTCGGGCCAGGCTTTAGGCGTTTTTGAGAAAGCTTACTTACCCTCCTAGTGATGGTAGCCCAAGAAGGTGGAGCTGCCGTGCCAGGAGGTAGGGTATGGGGAAGGGTGGATAGTGGAGGAGCGACAGAGGGCTGCTCTGTAGTACTAGTAGGAGGTGCTGGCAGGGCAGTCGGAGGAGCAGGCTGAGATAGAGTGGAGGCGTGGAGAGCATCCAACTCCTCAGTAAGGGCGGTGATGTGCTCGGTTAGCCCATCAGTCGCCTTTCTGTAGTCTTCTTTCAAAATTTGCATCATGTGGATTATAATAGGGAATGCCTTTCCAAATGTGTTTGGCGCTGTGAATCGCTGTAACTCAAAGAGCTCATCGATCATACTCCTGAATGCCCCGTTGGGCTTATCATAGTCATCCTGTGAGTATCATGGTAGACTTGTAGGGGTACCACTGCGTAGCCGTTCAAGGGAGGGCGGCCGTTAAGGCCGAAAGAGAGGTGATAGCCGAACCTGCGAAATCCCCGACAGGCTGCGTAGGAGGCTGTAGAACGAGAGGGGGTAAAGACCCTATGATGGAAGTGATGAAAGACAACTTTGACCCCGGTCCGGCCAAAGAAAGGTATCGTGGTGGATAAGATAATTCCCTGGAATGTAAGAAAGGGTGTCCAAATTATATCCAATTGTATTTATACTCGCCGCGCGCAAACATGGCTCATGGTCGAGGGATCATCCTATCGAACACCTGCCATAAGGGTAGGCGGGCCTCCGGCGGACCACAAGCGCACTGGCACTGTCCTCAAAAGCAACAGCCTTGGGCCGGGGTCCCCACAATACACCGGCGCACTCCACCTCAGCAAACCACAGCAACCAAGACCCCCCCCACAAACTTTCTCAACAACCAACACTCCTTGTTTTTCCTGCACCGAGATTCTTGTTTAATAAACCACTTTCAACCTTTTCACCAATTTCAGAACTTTATTCCTCATTTTACCTCCATCTTGGCACTAAATCCTGATTTTACCCCTATTTTTACCCCTGAATTGGGCCCCTTCAACACAGAACTCAGTCAGTTTGAGAGCTTTTGCTCTCAGATTTGGACAGCGTACTGTTCTTAGCTTGCTGAGGTACCTGGTCAATTTTTAGCTGAGTAGCTTTTCTTTCACATCCTGGGCTTAGTTTTCTTTCCTTGTTCCTCCCTGTTGTTTAGATTTTCCTCTGATTGCCACTTGCCCCCTACCACCCCTGTACTCTACCCCTGCATACTCCCTCCCTACTCTGGTCCACTGCAGAAAGGACTTAGCAATTTTCGCATTTTTGAGCCTATTATGCCTGTTCACCCAACCTACTATAGGACTACCTCTATTACAGTTCCACTGAATGGTAGTAGTCCTTTACCCTCTACCCTTGGCTCTAATCCCCAGACACCTCTCAATACCCTTCCCCACCAACACTCTCCTCCTGCTCTTAAAAGGGGACATAAGAGAAGACCTGTTAGCCCTTCACCTACTCCTGCTTCTAGTAAGCTACAAGAAGCTTTTAGTGTAACTCCTGTCCTGCCTACTCCTGCCCAAAGACCACCTGCATCTAGTTCCTTGTCTCCAGATATGGACTACACTTATTCCTTTCCTCCTCCTACCTCAGCTCAGAGGCCTCAGTATCCCATCTTTGAACAGTTCTTACATGAGCTGGTTGGTGAAATTAAGGCCAATAAGATGAACTACACCCCTCCTCAACAGGAGTTTCTCTCCCAACTTATTACTAACATCAGCAGCTATCCTAACAATAACCCCTCTGAGAGTCCTTCCCCAATCCCAGCTGAAATTGAAGTCAGACTAAAAAGCAGGAAAACACTTTGGAGTCTATCTTGACCACCTTGGACAAGCTTACCACCACCTCTGCTACCACCACTCTCCCTTATTCCTCTGCTACTAAGACCTGGGCTAACATTGTTAAACAGAATCAATCAGTTACTTCTACCTCTCTCACCAAGTCTAAGCCTCCTAAAAGATCCCCTGATGTTCTGCCTGAGCCTGACAGGACCCTGATCCTCAAATCCAGCCACCCTCCTACCAACTTCAACCAACTTCAGATCAGAGAAGCCATGAAGCAAGCCTTACAGAAGGCTGACTTGAACATTACTGTGGTTCTGGTCGGGCTATCTGTTAATAACAACATTATTATTGAAGTAAAGCCTGGCAACACTGCAGTTGAGTTGAAGGAGCAGGAAACTGTCTGGAGCCATCTGGTACCTGGATTACAGGAAGTGGTTGTCAGGGAGAAATGGTACAAGTTGGTTGCACACTCTGTTTCTACTGACATGATTGTGGCAGACAGTAAGGAGAAGGAAATGGAAGCCTTCAGAGAGGACATTGAGACCTACAACCAGGATATTTATCTGGCTGCTCCACCCAGATAGCTGACCAGAGGAGAGGCCAGAGCAGGAAAGTTATCCTCCTCCCTAGTTCTTTCCTTTAAAACTGCAAGAGAATTGAAGCATGCACTGAGAAATAGACTTGTGATTGCAGGAACTTCTGTAAGAACTTCAGAGTTCATGGACACCAGACCAACCTCACAATGCAGAAACTGTCAGAAGTTTGGACATCATCAGAAAGTCTGCAGGCAGGATCCTAGGTGTCAACTCTGTGGTGGAACTCACCCCACTAGGCTACACCAATGCTGTACCTGTCAGGCTAACAAGGAGTGTTCTCATACCCAGTTCAAGTGTGCTAACTGTGAGGGATCTCACAAATCTACTGACTTAAGGTGTGAGGTTTATAGGAATATTGTCAAGAAACCTGAACCTGCTGCTGCTGACAACCCCTCTTATTCCTTATGAGAGGCAAGCCAATCTCTATTATCCAGCACAATTGTGCAAAGACTTATGAAGTTCTGACCTCTCTCCTTCACTACACTAATGGCAAAGCAGATATTATTTTGATTCAAGACTCCTGGCTGGCATCTGATGGCACTCCTTACTCTCACCCCTCCTTTGATTCTATTCTACCTGATACTGCTGATGGTGAAAAACCTAGAACTGCTGCCTACTTTAGCAAATCCAGACAAGATATCTTTTGTTCTTATAGAGCTGACCTTCTTCCTCACCGGCTCAACCACAGCAACCAAGACCCCCCCCATAAATTTTCTCAACAACCAACACTCCTCCTTTTTCCTGCACAGAGATTCTTGTTTAATAAACCACTTTAAACCTCTTCCCCAGTTTTTAGAACTTTATTCCTCCTTTTACCTCCATCTTGGCACTAAATCCTGATTTTACCCCTATTTTTACCCCTGAATTAGCCCCCTTCAACACAGAACTCAGTCAGTTTGAGAGCTTCTGCTCTCAAATTTGGACAGCCTACTGTT